AGAATACAAATTAAACTCATCACGCGCCACGTGTACAAAATTACAAATGTAACTTGCGCGTATCAAAGTAATTTGATCTGAACAACTCATTTGTCACTTAAATAACTTGTTGGCTTGTAGTTACTTTCTCTTAAAGTATAAACTTAATTGACAATTATTATAAAAACATATAATCACGATTTTATATTAAATAATCAAACTATAATAGGATTGTAGGAGGGTGCATATGTAGTAGAGGAGCATGTAATATTAAGTATATCTTAATCAATCCATGCAATGTCAATAGAGGAATAGTCAAGGTTAAATTCCACAGTCCACACCAGTACGTGGTAAGAATACAAACTTATTATACAAATATGATCTGATTACAATTCATTCAATCCAAACGACTTATTTGTCACTTAGCTCGACTCGCATGTAGCTACTCTTCTTTACTTAATGTAATGTAAGACTAGACAATAATGGAGGTCAAAATTCAAGAAGACTCCAATAAATTAGTGAGCCCAAGAAAGTAGTTGCCGTAAACATGCAATGAAATAATCAAGTTTCTGCGCCAGAAAATTGGATGAATGGTGGTAGATGCATCAAATAAGATTCTCTTAAATTTGTAACGCGGTAAAGAATGCATCAAATTTTGCCAACTGTATTCTTGGAGTTTGCTAACCACTACTATAAGTACTATACTTATACGAGTAATATAAAGCTGGATTTTATAAATAATGTGTACTTTTCTTATAAATATCTTTTAATTTATAAGTAAGCTCTTAGCTGTTGCTACTTACTATAAGAGTTGTAACTAGCAGTCTAGCACAATTTGGTTTTCTGTAGTTGTTTACAAGAATTACAACTGTATGTAAATTTCAAAATCTCAGCTGGTCAATTTTACGTCGGGAATATTATATTAATTGAGGGATTTTCGATATGATATCAATATTGTGTCTATTATTTATAGAAAATGAGTTAAGGAATTGAGAGTTGTTGCGAATACAGTAAATCAGTAACACGTCACATACTCCCTTTCATAATTTGTATGAATAAGACGTTAGAGTGTTTCAATTGATCACTCATATTCATGGCTAACAATTTTACTAAATTGATTTCCTAAAAAAAAAAATTGCCTTTTACTTCATAAAACACTCTCATACTTATTATTATTATTATTATTATTATTATTATTATTATTATTATTATTATTATTATTGACAAATGTGACCTTGTTAGCTTTCTCCCAAAGACTATGCCTAATAATGAAGTTTTAATACATGGGGAACACAATTTATGTACGAGGAACAAACTTTAAAAAAAAAAAATCATGGGACCAAATTTTCTTTAATTAAAATTAAGTCATTATTAATTTTGTAATGTTCATTTGTCAAAAAAAAATAAAAATTAAAAAATTGTATTGTTCAACTCTCCTTAATTTCTGTAAAAAAATAAATAAATAAATAAAAATACACAATTGGGACAAAAAGGAAGTTCGACAAAGTAATAGGTATGCATCAATCATTTATCAATTGGTGCAACAAATTGGTAAAATATTTTGCATAAGTGTGCAATACCGCAACATGATGCTTATAAATGCACATACGATTCAATAATGAAACATCTCATATTCATTCATTAAATTAAAGACCATTATACTTTTAAATTCGCAACATATAATAAAAGAACATGGATGAATGAAATAAAAAACCAACATGATGCATGTATGTATATAATGAACATAAAGAACATTATTCAAAACTCAAAAGCATAATGCACCGCCCTCATGTATAATAGTATAATCTACAAATTGAATAATAGTTCTAGCTAAAAATTAAATATGATAGAAGTCACATTACATGTTGGTACAATTCTTAACAATAAGCATACTATAAACTTATAATGTAAAATTATACGTACGGATATTCAAGTAAGAACGTATACCACAATTTATTGTTGCAATTATTCAAGGAATTGTCAAAAGTAAGTACATTTAATTACTATGATGTAAATAATAGATTTTCTTTTCAGAATAAAATAAAATCATTGAACAACACAATATAATGCATGCTTTTACTATTTTCTTCTCCCACCCTCACAAATATAAACCTTTTTGACCACATTATGTATGAAAATAAAAATATATAGCTCTTGATGATTATTAAGTATGAAACTATATTATAAAAAATCATTTAATTCATCAATTAATCCATGGTTTTATTTCTTCATATGCTGCTAATTACACTCATTATCATTTCTTCGGTCTCTTCAACGTCGTTCATACCCTAGGAATGTAGCGTAGAACAAAGTTAATTAAGCTATATTAACAAAGAAACATGCTTAAAAATGACTTGATTTAAATTAAATTGAACTGATTCAATATTTCTAACCTCTAAACAAGAACTAATAACCGCGGCTCCATTAGAGGTGGTAAGATTTGTGTCATTAAACTCTAACCCTAATCGAGTTATGGCATCGACTAATTTCGTAAATACTCCCATTTTCTTCTCGTACACAACTTTTATCCATACTTTGTTATCGTCAATGGGATTCACCTTCACTTCAGGCTGTCACAAAAAAAAAAAAAAAAAAAAAGTTAATTAGAAAGTACTTAATTAATTATTATGTACATTTGTACGTACTTAATTAATTAAGTATGCAAACAAACCTCAATTCCATAATTCTTCATGTCTTTTTTTGCTGCAAATTTATTTTCGTCTTTGATAGATGATTTAATCTCCTCTCTAGGAGGATAACGAGTTTCGAGTTCAAGAAGCTCGTCCTTAAGCTCGCTTACTTGGCTATCAAGCTCTTCAATGTAAGTAATCGCGTCCTTAATGATATATGCTTTGGTCATCTAATTAAATTAACCAAAAAATGAAAGTAATAAATAAATTAAATCTTATTTGATTAAGAAAAGACGAGTTAATAAGTATTAGAAATAAAAAAGGCATAATTTGTGAGAGTCATAAGAAGTAGATGCTTGCATTAGTGATAATAGGGACTAATGCTCGTAGTTGAAGAAGGCGGTCATTAAGCTTGGCACGCCGTCTTCTCTCAGCGTCTAAGTTCTTGGATTTGAATTTAGAATCATCATTGTTGTTGTTATCGTTATCGTTGTCCTTATCAACATCAGAAGAAGCATATGAAAACTCCATGTCAAATTTGATAGAAGGGATAGATGGTTTTAATTTTTGAAGAGGGTTTAATAAATTACCTAAGTTACAATAATAATAGGTATGTGTATATATATAGGTAGTTAATTAATTTGGAGGGAATCTTTATTGTTAGAGGTTGTTAAGTACTTGTTGGATGGTAAAAGGCGCAATTTGGCATGATGAGTGAGAGAAGAAAGAGAGATAAAAACTTCATCATATGTACTTTCCTAACAGAATCAAAGCACCTGAGTTAGAAATTAACAGCTTTTTGACATGTAAATAGTACAGCTTAAGATCTTTTGGCCTTAATTTTATTACTTATGTTTAAGGTGCAATAAACAATGTAATGTGTGATACGTAGGTAACATTACAAAGATAAATTGTGCCGTTTCTTTTAAATAAAACTAAACAGTGTTTGATAAACAATTTGCTCCATTACATAGACGGAATTTGATTCGAACTAAATATGGTATTATAAGTCTAATTACTAGAGATTTGTATATTCGTCCAAAATGTCTCATTGAACTGTAATATGGAGGGGTGAGGCCGTGGGGGTGATCAGGATCGAATTCCAGCCCAGTCACACTAGGGGGAGATATAAAGACTAACCATCGCTCCACTCCTTGATCCTCCCAACTATTTAAGTTATCGAGAATATGTGATGTTTTTTGGTTCATGAACTGATGGATATTTTGTTAAAGATTTTCTGTTTCTTAGCTTGCACATGCCACTAACCATATCGATCATAACCGTTGCAAATAACACAAAATTGCAGTCAAAGAAAAACTTTGAAAAATAATGTTATTGTATACACTTTATACATAATTTAAGTACAACAATCACTAGTACAAAACATACATAGAAATATTCAGTGAATCAATAATTAGTACACTGTACAAATTGGATGTCATTTATTTAGTACACCTGCAACCAGCCAGCCAGTAGCGAAATTAGTTGTTAATTTGTTATTAGTGCAGTGTTGGTTGCTGTCTACTAGATTTTGTCAGCCAGCCAGTAGCTTGGTTGCTGTCTACTAGAGATAATCAACATCCGTCTGGTCCACTAGCCTGGCCCAATTCAGTCTAAAAATAGGGTGGATTTGAGCTCATTTCTAATTAAAAACCCAATCTCGGCCTGAAAAAAGTCCAAAAAGCATGCTACTTTTTTATCGGTTTGCGCAGGAGAAATTGTGTAAAGGCCTAACCCGATCCGATTTTTTTTTATCTAATACGAGATTACGAGTCATGTATTTACCAAGTAAGGCTTGGTGTACTCGCCCATTCCACAATGATTCTAAAGCCCTACACCCCAACCCAAATAATGAAATAATTAGTCCAAATAGACTTGGACCCCAAGCCCATTTTTCGATAACTAGTTTTCATTTTTTTTTTTGAAAAAAATTTCAATATAAATAAATTGTACAGCTTAGCTTATATCTAAACATGACAAATTAACCTATACTCAATTATCCGTCACAAAATATCCGACTTCAAATCCAAATTATACCCAAAATTACATGATACGATATAGACTTATTGATAATAGAATCAAAATTGGTCCAACTCTAATTTGAAACCAGCTTAAACAAGTCTTTTCTGAAAATGACTCAACCCAAGTTGACTCGATATGAATTCGATTTGAATGGTTTGAATGTCACCTCTCTAATGATAGGTGAAAATTAAAATACCAAGTAATTGGTACGAGTAGTTTAGGTTAAGTCAACTTCAGTTGGGGTCAAAAATATTGGATCAAGGGATTTTGTTTACCAGACTACGAGTACATTTCCTTGGATTCGTATTCAGATTGGATATAATTTTAAAAATGAATATTCGGGTCAATTTTGCCGGGTAAAGTTATTAATGTATTATGGCGCCTAAATTAGACTAGTGTATACAGTAACAAATTCCTGCTTGGCTATGCTATCACTTTTTTCATCACGCCATTTCCAATGTCTTCAATCTCTCTCCTCCTTCGCCGAGCATTTTCTTCATCTTCGGCCATATCTTCTGTAACCAAAATTTCTAAGGTCGTTTACAAAGAAGCTGATGTCAAAAAGGTTGCAGAAGCCTTCAAAAAACACACCCAGAATTCCAGTTTTCGTAAAAAAACCAACTTTTATGAACACACTGTTCAACGATTAGCCAATACCAAGAGCTTCAGTTTGATCGAAGAGATACTTGAAGATCAAAAGCAGTACAAAGATATTACTGATGAAGGGTTTACTGTTCGTTTAATTACTTTATATGGGAAATCAGGCATGTTTGATCATGCCCATAAACTGTTCGACGAAATGCCTGAACTAAGTTGTAAAAGAACTGTGTTATCCTACAATGCCCTCTTGGGGGCTTGTGTTAATTCGAAGAAATTTGATAAGGTTGATGGGTTTTTCCGTGAATTACCTGGGAAGTTGTCAATTAAGCCTGATGTTGTGTCTTATAATACTGTGATCAAGGCTTTTTGTGAGATGGGTTCTTTGGATTCCGCTCTTTTGTTGCTCGATGAAATGGAAAAAGAGGGATTAAGGCCTGATTTGATCACTTTTAATATCTTGCTTGATGCAGTCTACAGGAAATTAAGGTTCTTGGAGGGTGAGAAACTGTGGAGTATGATGGATAAGTATAATGTAGTTCCTGATATCATAAGTTATAATTCGAGATTACGAGGATTGGTGTTAGAAGAAAAGATGCAGGATGCAGTGGACTTTGTTCAGGAAATGTTGTCCAAGGGTTTGAAGCTTGATGTTTACACTTATAATATTTTGTTCAGTGGCTTCTGCAAGGATGGGAAGTATTTAGAGGAGGCCATAAAATGGTTTGATGAAATGATGAAAAACAAGTGTCCACCAGACCGTCTGACATTTTCTACATTGTTAAGATATGCTTGTCGTAACAAAGATTTCCGCTTTGGTTCTCGGTTGTGTAGATTATTGTATTATCGTCGTTGTCGATTGAATGAGAGAGGCTTGATTCAGAAGGTTATTGATGGGTTAGTGAGGCAGTCCAACATCAGTGAAGCAGAGATATTGGTGAAACTTGGAAAGGATAGTAGATATTCTTGTTATAACAGCCTTAAAATGCCTAAGTTTGATACTTAATATAGATTCCCTGCCCTGTGTTATGTTTCAGGTAATTAGATCAAAGTTGTTTGTTATTTAGCTCTGTTGAAAGATGCTGAATTAAAGTAGTGAATCAGGTATTACTATCTTTTAACCAAAAAAAAAAAGGTATTACTATCTTTACTTATTTATAGTATAAGCTGTTTTATATTTTCATTATTAGTTAAATTGACCTTATTGTAATACTTCTTATACTATAATATGAAGTGTATTTTTTTTATGGTTTATTTACTATTATAGACAAATTGTTTAATTTGCTATTAATGCTAAACTGTTTACTGGTGCCAAGGGCATGTTTATTTTTAGGTGCATAGTACCATATATGTCTATGATACTTGGAAAACTTATGAATTCGTATATGAAGAGAATCCTTAGCTTTGCAAATTTAAAATCGGGTTTTCCTGTTTCATGAACCAACCTGTCATTAGGAGGTGGTAATACTTATAGATCAATGGGCGAAGTAAAAATAGTGAATGTTAAATAAGTGCTTCTCAACATAGCTGAAACACCCATGAATTGTAATATCATATACTTGAATGATTTGTTGGACACATATTCACATCTGATACAAATGTTGATGATTCACCAATATAAATGCACTGCTATAGTTCTATGTTTCCTCTCAACCTCTCTTCCTTCCTTTCTCTACGTATGGCTGGACAAGGGATTGGTTGTTGAATAGCTTGAAGTCTTAAGGTGATGTTTCCTTGAAGGGGATGGAGTTACCCTGAGGTTTAGCTGTTAATTAATTAGTCCCTTACAGTGGTATATGACAGTCTTACAACTGAAGATCTAGTATCTATAACAAGAAACTGATCTTGTTAACGGATTAAAACCCCTATTGCTATGAAGTATCTGAAATGTGTGATAAAAGAAACCACTAATCCCAGAATTTAATTGAATAGTGTAGATGTAAGATCCTTGCTAGTACTTAGACAGTGAGACAGAGCTTCATATTTATATGAAGTGGGTCACAAAAGATAGGACTACTGAATTTGAAATCGAAGATATGGTGATGATGAGAAGAGGTGTGCTTCTTGAAAATCTAAAAGAGTAGCTGTGTCCCTTTTGGAATGCTGATTCAACTGTGAAGTTAAAGTTGCTTCCGAAGTTAGATATTTAACTGTGCTCACCTTGTCATTTGCCTGAAGCCAAGCCAAACCTACTAATCCGAGGATCCTACCAGCAACCTTACCAAATGTTCCAAAACAAAAATTTGGTAACCTCATCAACAAATACGACAAGGAAGTGGAGATGAAGACGTGAAACACTTCTTTTGTGAAGTTGATTCATGTGTCTATAGCAATGAGCAGGTTGTGAAGGTCTGCTACTTACTGTGTTTACATTTTGTTTTCTTGCCTTGTATACCATGTTAAATACTTCCTGCATCTTAATTGCCTTTGTGTCTGTCTGTTGTGACATAAGTTTAATTAAAGCGGTGAAGTGCTTCGTATAATATAGAGCTTACTGGTATGGAAGGCACAACATCCCTCACTCTGTCAGTCTGTCTGTCTTTGTACTTCATTACGTTACTTTTTCCTTAAAAGGTACAGTAGCATAACCTAGTCTAATTAATAAACAGAAAGTTATTTTATGATTCCAACTCCTAATAATGTATGGATTATGATTAAAACTCTTAATTTTTTAAAAACAAAATAGAAAGGAAGTACAGTAAACTTCTATTCCATAATAATGTGAGGATTGACTTGAAAAAAGGGGATTTTATTGTAACCTGAGATTAAAAAATAGTAATGGGAAAGCAAATAGGCGATTAAAATATGACTTTTACTTGATGTTTTGAATGTTCAACTAGCTAGACTTTTCAAAATAATATTTGTCTCTTTGGTGTTTGGTCCATATAGGCTACCCATCACCTAATGTTGTATTATGATGTATGGTGACTTTTCTCTGCTATCACTTGTTAACTTCTAATGTTGAATCATCTTCTTGCTGCAACTGCTTAGGCTAAATTTTATCTGTTGAATAGTTCATCTACCCCGCATTGAATATTGGAATACGTGTTGAATTATGCAGTCTTGATTTCATGTTGTTAAATTGAATTACTTTCTCTGGCTTCTAAAGGTTTCCTAACTGTAACATTGCTTCCCTCAACATCTTACTTAGACATGGCATGCTTTGCAATCTCTTGGTCCTCTTTGCTGATCACTCTGCTTATTTGCTCGTTAAACTGTATTGCAGTAGCTGAGCCATCCTACGTGTTTTCCCTTTGCCCAGACAAGCAGACTGCTGCTCCAAGTAGCGTATATCAGACTAATGTTAATACGCTTCTCTCTTTCCTCTCATTCAACTCTAACAATGAAAACCGCTTCTATAACACAACTGTTGGGACTGGAGCCAACAAGGTATATGGTGTCTTTTTCTGCCGTATTGATCAAACAGTTTCTTTCTGCCAGGAGTGCTTCTCCTTGGCTAATAACTCGTTAAATTCCCATTGCCTTGGAAAGAAAGAGTCTGTAGTATGGTATGATCAATGTATGATACGATACTCTAATGATTCTTTCTTTGGTACCATGAATGATGCTCCTATGATACCAATGTGGAACAGACAGAATGCTGTTGACATACAAAACATTACAAGCAACCAAACCGAATTTACCCAAGTTGTGCTAGAAACATTGGGAGATGTTTCATCCCAAGCAGCAGCAGGTCTGTCAGGCAAAAAATTTGCAACAAAAGAAGGGAAATTTTTGTCCAATTTGACAAGTATGAACTTGCTTTACACACTTGCTGAATGTACCCCAGATTTATCTGTGAACGATTGCAACACTTGTCTCCAGATGACCATTGGCAATATGACAGAGATGTGCAACATGAAGGCTGGTTGTACTATGATGAATCCCAGTTGTAATATGAGGTACGACATATACGCTTTTTATGGAGATGCTCTCACACCTGCTTCAGGACCTTCGCCTGTTCCCGTTTCCGGAGGTAAGATAACTTCAATAAGGTTGCATTAGTTGACGCAATTTATCCATTTACATTCAACCACTACAATTAAGGCCTAGGAAACCTTTTTTTTTTAAAGTCTTATTTATTGCTCCATATTCACCATGGACCTAGAACCATTTTCATCCCATGGCTATATCTGATGTCCATATTCAATGTCATCTAGTAAAAGTGAATAATGCTGTTTATTTATGTCAAACAGATACCTCTAAAAATACTTCATCCATGTCAAGGCGGAAAAAGATGTTACTTATTGTTGGTGTCAGCATTTCAGCTATTTTGGCACTGATGATCCTACTTGGGGCTTGGGTTTTGATGTTCAAAAGAAAATCCAAGAAACCAGTTGGAGGTAAGAGCACAACAGGACCTTTTCACCCCCTTTCTTTGGTTCCAACCCTTTATAATAGTCTCTTGCTCTTTGTCAACAACCAGCTTAGATTAGTATTGTAAAATGTAAATTTGTAATCTTAGAGTGTACTCATAAGGATTCTTTGAAACTTTTTAGATTAGAATAGATTCATTCCCATGTTAAATAGTGGAGTGGTGGATATTATAGTTGATTGCACTACAACCTTAAATCAATTCAAAAAAATTAACAGTGGAATATTTTGGATCATTGCTTGTAGAAGAAATGGATGAAATTTATACTGTAGAGTCCTTGAAGTTCGACTTCTCCACAATAAGGAAGGCAACCAATAATTTCTCAGCAGATAAAAAGCTAGGAGAGGGTGGATTTGGTGAGGTTTACAAGGTAAAGTTGCTGGAAGTAACTCCTAAGCAAGGTCACACTGCTTTCTGTTGTATGAGTTATCGTAATCAGACATGCTTCATTGTTTGCAGGGACAACTTGAAGATGGACGATATATAGCTATAAAGAGGTTGTCAAGTAGCTCTAAACAAGGCATTGGTGAGTTTAAGACTGAAGTCGTTCTAGTTGCAAAGCTTCAACACCGGAATTTGGTCAAACTCTTGGGCTTTTGCCTGTCAGGAAAGGAAAAGATACTTGTCTATGAGTTTTTGCCTAATATGAGTCTTGACCGTTTTTTATCAGGTAGTTTACTGCTGTAGTTTGATGCTTAAATATCTTTTTGCTCAATTTTAATGCATAGGTTGGTTAATTATACATCTTGTAACCAGATCCAACAAAACGGGAATCTTTAAACTGGAAAACAAGATTAACAATCATTGAAGGAATTGCAAAAGGGCTTCTTTACCTTCATGAAGATTCTCGACTCAAGATTGTGCATCGGGACCTCAAACCTAGTAATATACTGTTGGATGAAGATATGAATCCTAAGATAGCTGATTTTGGCATGGCAAAGCTTTTTGGGATAGATCAAACTCAAGATAACACTGACCGAATTGTTGGAACATTGTGAGTACTTTGTGAATATGTTACACTTTCTTCATGTCCTTAGTTATGTGTCTTTGTTTTATGAAAATTTACGTTAATGTTGCTGAAAAATGCCCAATAACTTAGAGCTTGTATACCTGATTTTGCAGCGGGTACATGGCTCCAGAATATTTGATTACAGGACACTTTTCTGTTAAATCAGATGTGTATGGTTTTGGTATCATAATCTTGGAGCTTGTTAGTGGTCTAAAGAACAGGTTTTCACATAAACAGCAAATTGACGAGTCACTTCTATATAGGGTAATTTTTTTAATTTTTGAACTGTTTTATTTAAAAAGTTATCTTGATTCATACAACCTATTAACCAAAATATAGTGCAGGCTTGGAGGCTGTGGAATGAAGGGGTTCCTATGAAGTTGACTGATCCAACTTTTGGCAATGATTTTCCTGTTGAAGAAATGGCTAAGTGCATCCACATTGGTTTGTTATGTGTCCAAGAAGATGCAGCTAAGAGACCGCGAATGGCATCAATTGTTGCTGCGCTTAATGGAGAGTCAATTTCTCTGCCTTTACCAACCCCGCCTCGTTTCTTGAATGACTCTGTAGATTATGGAATCAAAGACGGTGGCTCAGACAAATGTACTCCTGCATTGGGAGTGAAAGATATCTTCACCGACTTGCATCCTCGATAATGTTGATTTAGGCACAAATTCCAAATCATTTAACTACTGTATAGTTGTTTTAGAAGTGGAGACTGAATTAAAAAGACTTTGTAACTACAAATCTTGTACGATGAAACAAGTCATCCCCAAGGCTGTAAGATCATATTCTACATAATTGGAGCTCAGCAACCCACATAAGTGTGTAAAAGGAGGCTAGGTAAATTATCAACTTTATTTGATTGCTGCTCTGAAGAACTCTGAGGTGATTGATCACTGCCCAGCTTTCCATGATTCCTATTTACCCTAGTTTGTTAAGCAGCGTTATGCCAGTTTTGAGTATGGTTATTTTGCTGCTTGTTTCATAGTGATTGTTTACATGGCAGCAGAATCTAATTGTTTTTTTTATATCTGTAATTCTGTAACATCATCATTTGAATTGATATTGATTATGTGTGTGATAGGATATGATTGTTTGATTGGTTTTAATTAAGTTCACGTGTGATTTCTACAAATGAATGTATTATATGCTCGTGTTATGGTTTGCATCTTAATGGAGCTTTTTGACCAGACAAGTCAGGAAGGAATTTCACTGATGTACTTGGTTTGTGTAGAATGACGAGGATGCCCTTGAAACTGTACTTAACATTGTGGGTGAAATATTATCAATTCCTTGGAGGCATGAATGTAATACATACCATGTTTGAGAAGTTGTGAACTTGTAATTTCTCGTGTCTTTAGGTTTCAAATTGATCCCCTCTCTCGCGTATGTTGTAATTGTGCAGCTTATCCTACATTGATAAGTGGAAGAACTCAAATGTGCTGAATTATGCAAACTGATTTCATGCTGTTGAATTGAATCACCTTCTCTGTCTTATGAAGGTTTCCTAATTATTTGCAGTGATTTTCCTGTTGAGAAATCAACAATGTGCATCCACATTGGTCTTTTATGAATCCAAGAAGTTGCTGCTAGAGACCGCGAATGACATCAATTGGTTCCCGTGCTTAATGGTGAGTTAATTACTCCGCCTCTATCCACCCCTCCTCATCTCTTGATTAGTTGTGCAGATTATGGAATCAATGCTAGCTCAAATCATGTACTCATGCATCAGGTATATATATTATTGTTTGAGTTTCCTGGATTAATCAAGTGTATATTGTTAATTTGTTATCTCAGATCAGAGCATTTAGGCCATATACTGAGCTAAAAAAATCCTGTAACTGTTGATTTTGTAGAACCAACACTCAAAATTATGATAATTAAGACCACAACACATTAAAAAAAAAAAAAGGCTGTAACATCTCAAACTTTCTTCACTAATCACAATTTTCTCCAAAAAGTTTAATGATACATACTTCACATAGGCAGGATGTCCTCTTTGTTGCGGATAGTCCTAACCCTCCTAGAAGTGTTTCTCATGAGGGTGAATTGGGAATTTCCCATGAGCAGGTAAGGGTATGACCGACTATTTGCAAACTCTAGAATATACAGGCGTTAACTCCATAATTTGACGGAAGAAACCCAAATTCTTGAAAACGTTATGTCACTGTTCCCGTAGTTACCCCTTCTCTCAACTTTCATCCTTCTCTTCAATGGAGTTTCAAAAGCTCAAAGGCTACTTCAATGGAGGAAGATGACACCCTTACCCTTAGGGGTTGATCTTGCCCTTTTTTTCTCCCCTTTTTATTAGGGTTTTCGTTTAATTTGGCGGCAAAGCCGCCGAAAATGGCGGTGGGTGGGGGATGGGTGAAGATGAAAGTTCGAGCTCCATTAAAGGAGCTTGATTTGAGAAAAGGAGGAAGAAGAAGAATAGCGTAATTGTATTGTTAGGCTGCCGATCGTGGTGTTGTTGGAAAAACAAAACTGACAGAAGTTTTTGCTACGAGTTAACTCCGTCTTCCCAAGGCCCACATCAGCAACTTCAGTGTTTATTACAGTCAGCAGATAATAATATTTGTTTTACAATTCCCAAAGCACAAATATTACACAACTGCAACTAGAGAAACACTTCTTGTTTCTCAAGAAGAGCAACTGGGGGACGCCCTCCTAGAAGTACCTATCACTTGCTAAAAAAAAAACGGAGAAAGTATATACGAGTCTTGTACAAATCAGTTTTGAGCAGGATAATTGTAATTTTCTGATTCGTCCCCGGTTGCACCTATGAACTATGCACACTACCCAAGCCTTATCTTTAAAATTTGTCCATGTTGAAGATTATGCTAAGACTATCCCACCCAATTAGTTGCTCTTAGACCATGTGGTCCATGTCCATACTCAACAATATGCTACTCCGCCACCAGCCCACTAAGTTTTGTTGTCAATATTAGAAGACTTGTTTCGGAAACACTTTCTCACGATAATAGTATGAATTTTTAGAGACGAAGGGAGTATTGAAGAATAAAGCAAGTCTTTTTGAGGTAAGTTGACTATTGTATTTGTTACAATATTAGTTAGCTTAGTCTCATAAGTTGTAATGCCAATATTTTGGAAAATTTAAGCCCACTAATCATATGATATATTGATATTTATATTATAAACCTACAACTACGAGTTACCAAGACAAGGCATTGACATTCAACAAATAAATCACATATTATACTCTAAAGTTAGACCAGATTATGATACGAGGAAATATAATTCTATAAGGCCAGCACGATGACTTGTAAGTATCACTCTTCATACGATTTTTTTTTTGGGTGACTTCGTACAATTTAATAAAGGGAAGGAGTATATATATATAGTTAGATAATAAGATAGTTGGATGTTTGTTAATCTAATAAAAAATGGTAGCAAATTAAAATAATTTACATTGAAATAGCACAAATATTGTAATATGGAGGAATAATTTTGTTACTCAATTGCTTCAAATTAATTAAGACATTTTTCGTTTTGTATTGTCGTAAATTAAGGTGGAACAATGATACTTCGTACTTGTATATGGCAATCAAAATATGGCAATCAAAATGAAACGGAAGTTAAAAGAAAGGAGACAAATGTCACATAAAGTGACAGTTTCTAGAAGAAATTGGGATTTGGGACTGTATAACTTTTGCCACCAAAGTTGACTAAGGAAGCAAGTTATCTGTTTTTGTTGGGAAATTATATTATTTCAGATGATTATTGTCAAGCTAAGAACTGCACTACAAATTAAAATAATAGGAGTGATTTGCATGTAATTTTATTTGCAACAAATATTTTTTTTTTTTCCTCTTTTTCCCAAATGGATCTAATTTTCTAAAGGGGAGTAAAGAAGCTTACTCTAAAAAACTTACCAAGTACTAACAGGGTGGGAAAAGAGTAAATGGACATGAGATTGCAAAACGAGTAATTACCTCAATTTGTTATCTTTCATGACTAAATTAATTTATACTTCGTAGAATTTAAGAAAAATAATTAAACTACATACATAACATTATATTAACATATGATATAGGTAAACCAAGCCAGGAGGGGAGGGAGTCCAGGAGTTGAAGCCGTGAAGGCTGATAAATAAGATAATTACTATCCAAAAAATACGCAACTGGTAAGGATCGAACCCATATTTTTGCTCATTACCCTTTTTGTTATGGTTGAATATCTGATAACACTATTGCTATAAACATTGACCTTGAAGTATTACACCATATGATAATGATATATGATACATAGCATTCACTTTGCTACTCCACTTTGCAAGAAGTTGATTGATTGGTTGACTTAGTCATTTTATACTAGCATAACGAAATACCAAAAACAATTATTCTAATTATTTTTATTAGTTCAGGCCAACCATTGTTACAGTTTGTTCCACTTCATTATTATATTATACTAATATAGATTAGAATGGACTAATTACATATTAGTTTGACATTTATCACCCCTTTTTTCAGGCTTATAAACTTGGTCTAAATAAAACACTATCATTTTAGACAATCTTACAGTAGTATTTGTTTCTAAAACATGGCTTTCTTTGTTCTTTCACAACTAAATTTGTTTCTGTTTCTAGTTCTGCTAATTACTGTTATTACTTATAATTCATATGCTGCAGCTGATGATTCAGAAGACTCTAAAGGTTATGTGTATGCTCTTTGTCCTGATATGAAGACGGTTGCTCCTACGAGTGCTTACCAGATCAATATAGACACTACTTTGTCATACCTGTCATCGAATTCTACAGGCAAAACTCGATTCTACAACACGACTGTAGGGAGCGGAGACAGTAAGATATACGGTCTCTTCTTCTGTCGTCTTGATGTTACTAATGCTGCCTGTCAGAAGTGCGTTTCCTTGGCTATTTCTGCACTGAAAACGCGTTGTCCTGGGAAGAAAGAATCCATTGTTTGGTACTTTGATCAGTGTGTGACTCGGTATTCAGAGAAGCCGTTTCTTGGCACTATGCATGATGTTCCTATGATACCGATGTGGAACAGGCAGAACTCGCTAGACATTTGGAATGTTACTAGCAACATGACAGGTTTTATGGATGTTCTGATAGAAAGTCTGAATGATGCAGCAGATAATGCCTCAGGTGGATCTCCTGACAAGAAATTCGCGACACAAGAAATAACTTTTGCTGATAACTTGACGAGCTTAAACACCATCTACACGCTTGCAGAATGTACACCTGATATAACCTTGAAGGACTGCAAAAGCTGTCTTCGTGTTACGATTAATAACATCACAGAACTGTGTAATGTTAAGGCTGGTTGTACTCTTATGTGTCCAAACTGTAATATACGGTATGACACTTATCCTTTCTATGGAGATGCAACGGATAATTCTTCGAATCGATCAGGTAACAAGCTTGGTTAAAGTTCTATTTTAATTTGTGGAGTCAACATCTTGTGTTTTAGGCCAAGTTCATTTTCTGCCAGATTGGATTTCTAAAAGTCAACTTTTCATGATTTCATCGAATCATTAATTTTCAAACTTAGGATTTCTAAGTTTATTATAACCTCTTGTTTGTTTGTATTAGGCTGTTTCAAGATCAAGCATCTCTAGTTTTCTTACATTAAAGCGTATAATCATGATTATTTAGATTATTTTAATAACAAGCCTTAAGAATGTGCCAAACCTGCTGCATTATTTGACTAATGACATTAAAAGGATTCTAACAATTGACAGAATTTATATATTTGAGCCTTTAATTTCCTCGCGCTTTGTCACAGAAGAATTCAATGAGCTTGAAAGATTGATCTTACAAGAGTTACAATAATGAGTAGTGACGAAGCTAAAAGAATAAGCAAATATGCTTGAACCATAGAGTTACCTGCTAGTTCCGCCATTGACTAAATGACTATAAGCTATGTTTTCCTATATTTTAACATGTTGTTTAGTTTTGTCAACTTAGCTTCTTGTTGATCATTACCATGTTGGCATAGTGGCATGCTACTTTCTCTATTTTTATAATAAACATTAAAGTCGCGCTTTGAAGAAATATCTTGGATAAGATTTGTACATTAAATGATCTGTATTGTATTCTTTGTAGCAGGAACTCATTCACAATCTATTAGGAAGAAAGACGCAATACTTATAGGTGCCGTTGCTGGTGCAGCTTTGGTAGTGACTCTTGTTTTCGCGGTTATATTAATTGTATTCAGGAGAAAGTCCAAGAAAGCACATAAATATGAGGGTGAGAATACAGGATTATCTGTTTTGCTCTGAGTTTTTCTATTCTTGTTTAACCCCTTCATACTAATTACTGACTTGACAGTTGACAATAGACTAAATTTTATTTGCTGCTAAGTAAAGTTTTGAGTGATACCGAAAAGTATGCTTCCATTTTATCATCACAGCTATCTTTTAACTGCATATAATGAGGATTATGATCTACTCAAGTTTAGCATTAGGTCCCCTGAACCAACTCTACCAACAATAAGAGATTTTATGCAAAATGTAAGGGTTTAAGTTAACTGATGTAAATTGCTCCTGCAGATTCAAGTGACATTGATGAGACCACAGAGTCTTTAAAATATAACTTCAAAAAAATAAAATACGCGACTAGTAATTTCTCAGAAGAGAAAAAGCTGGGAGAAGGTGGATTTGGTGAAGTTTTCAAGGTAAAGATTTCATGTCATGTACATTCCTCAGCATATAAATTAAACCGTCGTTTGTGTTGTTGGAGTTCATGAATTGTTTGGGCATATTCTGACAGGGAAAGCTTGAATGTGGACAAGAGATAGCTGTAAAGAGGCTATCAAGGAACTCGAGACAAGGTGTTACTGAGTTTAAGACTGAAGTTCTTTTAGTTGCAAGGCTTCAGCACAGGAATCTGGTGAAACTCTTAGGATTTTGCATCTCAAAAAAGGAGAAGTTACTTGTTTATGAGTACTTGCCAAATTTAAGTCTTGACCAGTTTCTGCATGGTAAGAACATCAGAAATGACCTGTTTTCATATGAACTCTGAAACAAAATTTTTTTTGTTACAAACATTCTATTACTTTTTACTGCTGCAGATCATACTAAGTGTGCAGCATTGGATTGGGAGACGAGATTCAAGATCATATGTGGAATTGCAAGAGGACTACTCTATCTTCATGAAGATTCTCGGCTTAAGATCATACACCGGGATCTTAAGCCAAGTAATGTGCTGTTAGACAAGGACATGAATCCAAAAATCTCTGACTTTGGCATGGCAAGACTTTTTGGAGCAGATGAAACTCAGGGAAATACTAATAAAATTGCTGGAACATTGTGAGTAGTTAGTTTCTGCTTTTCCAAAATTAAGCTTCAGTAAGTTGAAAAGCTCATGTAGTTAACATTATGATGCAGTGGATATATGGCTCCGGAGTATGTATTAACTGGCCACTACTCTGTCAAATCAGATGTGTACAGTTTCGGTATTATAGTGTTGGAGATCATTAGTGGTCAAAGGAACAAGTTCAGCAGACTAGATAGTGAACATGAAGAATCACTAATTCATCGCGTAAGTTTTGTACCTTTGGCCTATCTTCAATATGCTACACGATACCTTTGTCCAGAATTAGTCGTCACAACATAATGTCACTGTAACCAAAAAGCTGATGCTTTAAAATACTGGTTGGTCTGGTTCATTTACGGACATCCTAAAATAGTATTATATTATGTGTGTTACAGGCCTGGAGGCTATGGAATGAAGAGATTGCAATGGAGTTGGTTGATAAAGCCATTGGAAATGCTTTCTTATCCGAAGAGGCAGCAAAGTGCATCCACATTGCGTTGTTGTGCATCCAAGAAGAAGCCGCGAGAAGGCCAAGAATGGCATCAGTGGTTGCCGCGCTTAGTGGTGATGCTATAGTTTTGCCTATACCTACACCACCTCATTTTTTCACTGCCGGTTCTTACGGATTGGAAGACTATGGGGTAGATCAATCTGGCCCGACATTTTCTGGTTCAAGAAACATCACTATTGTGGATCCTCGGTAACTTTTAGTGCATGTTTAGCAATTATGTGACCAATTTTTCATGGACTAACATATTTTTGATAGGTATATGTTATTCTTGTAGGAATATGTACTTACTATTCTCTGATTTATTTTTATGACCAAATGTAATAGTGTTATTCCTAACAAGAACATGTTTGAAAATAGTATAATTTTATTATTACAATTGTTAACTTGATGAACATAGGCTTTCGTATGAAATGATATAAAGTCGTAAGATGGAGGAAGAAATGATTCAAATGATTGAATAAAATTGGAAAGAGCTAGCTAAAAAAAATGCTGTTTGGGCCGGACCACCTATATTTATTGGGCCGGGTAACTTATCATCCCCTCATTGTTGTAACAGTTACATTATTACCTCTAAAGGCTCTAGCCTCTAACTGATATGGCAGAGTAGGACCCACCCCAGTCAATGCCACATAAAGTCAAACTAGCAGTGGATAGAACTAGAGGAAAAAAAAAGAGTCTTGTTTTGTCGAGCTTTAAGTATATGTATAATCCACGATCTTGACATCTCTGGCCCATTTAACCTGTTTACTATCTTCATTACTTTTTAAATGCAATAAAGGGGTATTTTACTGAATCGAGCAAAGAGCAAATGTAAAATAATTCTATTGAATAGCATACGGTGTAACAAGTTAGCATTTTGAGGGATGTCGTATTAAGTAAATAAACCTAACTAGTTAAGTTCAATTCTTCTAGAATTAAATGAATAAACGTATGATCACCATTATAAATACAAATGGATGGCCATAATCTAAATAGCAATAATTGCGGTCCCTAACTTTATAGCTGAATTTAATGTATCACATGCTATATTACATATAATAACCAATTCATTTTGATATCTTGAATGACCTATTTCTCTGACGTTGGAACACATTAGCATCTCTATTTCTCTAATGTAATTCAGCCTTTAGCATGTGATTTCTTTTAATTTGCCGTGTACAAATTTTTCTACTTATAAATGTTATAAAATTATGGTGATTTTGCCAAAATATTCCAAAATTATGGTGAATTCGCCACATATACTTGTTTAATTATTTATCTAGCTTGTAGGCAAAGAAGTCACATGTATTATGTTTGTTCTAGACATCATTTTAATAGATATTATGAAATACTAATATTAATCTAAAAAGATTATACAAAGTACTTTGTATAAATTTGGATCCAAGAATGATCGAGTTTATGGATATAGTTATGTGGGCTGTGCTATTGAATGTGTTGGACTTTAAACCATGGATGATTGGTCCAACACAAAGTCCACATGCACCAATAAGTATAAATGTACATTTTTTTTTTTACAAAATTTAAATAGTTTAATAATTACATGAAAACAATTTGATTATTATACAAGTACAAGAGAGAAGATTATGGTTATTCAAAAAAAAGATAATATGAGGTTGTCAAAAATAAATGTAAAATTCAACGCTGTACAATCCTACAACTATATTAGTTTTATTTAAAATTGCAGGGAGTATGGAAAACTCTAGCCTAATGTTATAAAATTCTTCAGCGCGTTTTTGGTACCCCCGGCCACACCGTACGGCATAACGGGATTCACCAAAATAACGGAGAATGAAAAATCTTTCCAAAAACGCGCGTTTTGGAAATTTCTGGAAAAACCAACCAAAAAGCGTCTCACGCACGCTTCCCAAAACCTAAAAAACACGCCGCCACTCATTTGCCATTTACTCCAGTTTTTTTTTTTTAAAAAAAAACTCTTTCACTTTTAACACCGCCGCTTTTAACACACTGATTTTTCACCTCAATTTTCATCATTTTTACAAAATTCCATGGCAGACAAAGAATACAATTTCCTGGATTCACAAGAATCAATGGAAATCGAAGAGATTGAAGATTCATTCATGAATTTGGAGATCGAAAACAAAATTACAGAAATCAAGCAACTTCTATTAGAAAATATTGAACACCAAGGTATGTAAATTTATTTTATTTGAGGTATTAAAGACCAAGAAATTACATACTGAATGCCTGTAAATTTTAAAAATTATGATAAGTAACCTAATAAGTGAAATTTAGTAACCCCTTATATTACTCCCTCAGTAACCCTTTCAGCATTTGCTTATAATTCCCTCTAGTAACCCCCTCAAATACCATTGTAGTAACCCCCATTAAATAATAGCAGTAGTAACCCCTTTACTAATCTTTTTAGTAACCCCATAAAAGTAAACCCCTCAGTAACCCCAGTAGAAAATTCAGTAACCTTATAGTATCCATCATCAAAATCATTCCATTATCAACAACTCTAGTAACCCCCATTAAATAATAGCAGTAGTAACCCCTTTACTAACCTTTTTAGTAACCCCATAAAAGTAAACCCCTCAGTAACCCCAGTAGAAAATTCAGTAACCTTATAGTATCCATCATCAAAATCATTCCATTATCAACAACTCTAGTAACCCCCATTAAATAATAGCAGTAGTAACCCCTTTACTAACCTTTTTAGTAACCCCATAAAAGTAAACCCCTCAGTAACCCCAGTAGAAAATTCAGTAACCTTATAGCATCCATCATCAAAATCATTCCATTATCAACAACTCTAGTAACCCCCATTAAATAATAGCAGTAGTAAACCCTTTACTAACCTTTTTAGTAACCCCATAAAAGTAAACCCCTCACTAACCCCAGTACAAAAATCAGTAACCTTATAGTAACCATCATCAAAATCAACCATCATCAAAATCATTCCATTATCAACAACTCTAGTAACCCCCATCAAATAATTGTAGTAGTAACCCCTTTACTAACCTATTTAGTAACCCCATTAAAGTAACTCTTATAATACACTTTTAATTAGCAACCCCATTAAAGTAACTCCTATAATACACTTTTAATTAGTAACCCTAAATAACACATTAAAGTAACCCATCGATTAACACCTCTAGTAACCTATTTAGTAACCCCATTAAAGTAACCCCACAAAAAACTCCTTTATAAACCCCGTTAGTAACCCCACTTAGAAACCTCCTTCAAACACTCCTCAAATAATCCCTTCTAGTAACCCCATTACTAATCCCTTTTAGTAACCCCTTCCCTAACCTTCTTAGTAACGCCCTAAGTAACCTCACTCAAAAATTCATTAGTATACACTTCTAGTAACACATTTACTAACCCCAGTGATAAACAATTCCACATACCTATCTAGTAAACCCTTAGTAACCCCTCAATACCTTCTAGTAATCCTTTTACTAACACCCTTAGTAACCCACTTAAATAATTTTTACTAACCTCCTTAAGTAACCCCTTTACTAACACCCCTCTAGTAACCCCTTTAGTAACCTCCTTAAGTAACCCCTTTACTAACCCCTCAATACCTTCCAGTAATACTTTTACTAACACCCTTAGTAACCCACTTAAATAATCTTTACTAAACTCCTTAAGTAACCCCTTTACTAACACCCCTCTAGTAACCCCTTTAGTAACCTCCTTAAGTAACCCCTTTACTAACCCCACTCATAAATGTACCTATATTTTTACAGCAGAAACAGGTGACAACACAGCACCAGAAACAAGTAACAACTCACCAGAGAATACTTCAAGCACATTAACAGGGAAAAGCAGAAATGACAACATCCAAACACAGCAGAGTAAAAGTCAACAAGAAGATTTTGATTTTACAGGAAGCCTAATAGGATACACTGCAGAAACTTTGGATGAAATACATGAAATATATAAAAAGCATGCATTTGCTATGGGATTTGGAGTAAGACAATCACCCACCAGATGGACTCAAGGAGACAACAAACAAATAAGGGGAAAAGATTTTGTTTGTAATCAAGAAGGCTTTAGATGCAAACCAAAGATTATGAAAACTCCTCCTCTTGCAAATGAAAATAAGAAGAAAACAAAACAAGTTCCTATAACCAGAACAGGATGCAAAGCATTAATCAGAGCAAAAAAGAACAAAGAAGGGAAGTTTGAAATTGAAGAACATATCATTAATCACAATCATGAGTTAACTAGAAAAGTGTGGCAACATTTACATAGGTCAGAAAGAAAGATCACTGAAGACAAAGCAAAAGTGATTGATCTTATGGCAGAGATTGGATTAAAACCAATAGAAGCATACAATCTGATGACCAAAGAAGCTGGAGGTGAAGAATTACTAGGGCATACTTTAAGGGACAATTTAAACTACATTTCAAGAAGAAAAATCAAAGAAATTGAAGGAGGGGATGCTCAAACTGTAATATACAGCCTATATCAAACTCAAGCAAAAGAAGAAGACTTTTTCTTCAGATTCAAACTTGGAGGTGATGAAAACACCAACAAGTTAACAGGCATCTTCTGGAGAGACTCAGAAATGAAGGAGGATTACCACATCTATGGTGATGTAACCATTTTTGACACAACATACAAAACAAACAAATACAATCTCATTTGTTCCCCTATTGTAGGAGTCAATAATCATTGGCAAACTGTGATGTTTGGATGTGCATTTATAGCTGATGAGAAGATAGACACATTTGACTGGGTTTTATCAACTTTTAAGAAGTCTATGGGAAGAAGAGAGCCTGCAACAATATTCAGAGATCAAGACTTTGCAATGTCTAAAGCCATTGAGAAGGTAAACACTGTATTACTACCAATTTACTACCAATTTAATAACAAAACACTGTATTACTACCAATTTACTACCAATTTAATAACAAAAAAGTAACCCCTTCTAAGTAACCCAGTAACTTACTCTTCTAAGTAATCCCTTATCTAGTAACCCCTTCTCTACTAACATCTATAATAACCCAACATCTATAGTAACCCAGTAATTAAGTAACCCCCTAAATATCAACATTAGTACCCCCCTAAATATTCCCCTTGCTAGTAACCTCTGTAGTAACCAGGATTAAAATAGTCCTCTAGTAACCCCACCATTAGTAACCCCTTCTCTAGTAACCCCTATAAATAACCCCTCTAGTAACCCCAATAAGTAACCCCTCCTGTAGTAACCCCTTCTCTAGTAAACCCTCCACTAGGAACCCCTTCTCTAGTAACCCCTTTTCTAGTAACTCCTCCTTTAGTAACCCCTTCTCTAGTAACCCTAACAAGTAACCCCTAACATATATTAATAAATTCAAGTAACCCCTCTAGTTAACCCTATAGTATTCCCAATAAGTAACCCCTATGCCATGTAAATTAATTATGATTTTTTAACTCCTGAAAAACCAAGAAAATTAATTATGATTTTTTAACCCCTGAAAAACCAAGAAAGAAAACCCTAACTAACCCTCAGTAATACAATAAGTAACCCCATAAATAACAACAGTACCCCCTTAAATAATCCCCCTGCTAGAAACCAGGATTAAAATAGTCACAGTACTAACCCCTTTAACACTAAAAGTAACCCCTCCTCTAGTAACCCCTTCTCTAATAACACCAATAAGTAACCCCTCCTATAGAAACCCCTCTCTAGTAACCACTTATCTAATAACCCCAGTAAGTAACCACATCTCTAGTAACCCCTTCTCTAATAACCCCTATAAGTAACCCCTCCTATAGTAACCCCTTCTCTAGTAACCCCTCCTCTAGTAACCCCACTAAATAACCCCTCCTATAGTAACCCCTTCTCTAGTAGCCCCTCCTCTAGTAACACCACTAAATAACCCCTCTAGTAACCTGTAACACAAAAGTAACCACTATAAGAATAACCACCTAACTAATCCCAAGTACTTCTGTTTTTAACAATTTTATAATCCCAAGTACTTCTGTTTTTAAAAATTTTATATCATTTATATCAGTATCCTTAAAAGTTTGTTTTACTTGTAAACTTACAGGTATTTCCTCGCTCAAGGCATAGGTTGTGTATCTGACATTTAATAAAAAATGTTGTTTCAAGATTTGGAGCATTAAAAAGAAACACAACATTCAAAGATGCATTTAATAAATGTCTAAGCGGTTGTGTGACACCAGAAGAATTTCAAATTTGCTGGGAAAACATGATATCAACATACAAACTTGAAAAAAATACCTAGTTCAAAAGGTTATATAACCTTAGGGAGAAGTGGTGCACAGCTCTGAGTAAAGACTTTTTTTCTGCTGGTATTTTATCATCACAGAGGAGTGAGAGTACAAATAATGCAGTTGGATTCAAAGCAAATAAGAACACAAGTTTAACAGAATTTTTCAGAATATTCAAGCAAACTGTGAAGAGATGGAGAAAAAATGAAGCTGATGCAGATTTCAAGTGTTCAAACTCTGAACCAACTTCACATCTACCTATGTATGGACTCCTAAAACATGCTTCAGAAATATATACACATACAATTTTCAAATACTTTGAGGCAGAGTTCAGCTATTCAATGGGGTGCATAACATTTCTGCATAATCAAATTGGAGATCACTACTTTTATGAGGTGCAAATTGAAAATGAAATATCATCCAGACAAAAGGTCACATTTTCCAGCTCACAAAACAGGATTGCATGCTCATGCAAAAATTATGAATAAATAGGATGGCTTTGCTATCATTGTTTACGAATCTTACACCAGCACTCAGTTACAAAAATTCTTGAACATTATATCTTAGTAAGATGAAAAAGATAGCAAAATCACATATATGGAAAAAAAAATGATCATGAAGCAGAAAATTCAACAGACAAAGAGAAATACATCCCTTGGCGGCACACAATGGCAAGAAAGTCATACAATCTTGTACTAAAATATCAGCATCACAAAGAGACAAGGAGCTTCATAGAGTCACAACTAAGAAAAATTGACATAGAAGTAAATCAAATAAAAAGAAAGTTGGAATTGCAACAAGCACAAGAACAAGAAGGGGATGAATCCACAGAACAACAACAACATATTGAAGATGAAATACCAATAGTGAATGATCCAGATCGAGCAAACACAAAAGGAAGAAGCAAAAGAATCAAGGGACACTTTGAAAAAGGAAAACAACCAAAAGCAAAAAAAACAAAAGCAATGCAAGTCAAAGGTGACACAAGAGAATTCGGGACAATCACACCTGTTGTAAATCAGAAGCTCTTTTAGATTCAATTTTTCAATGTTACTATTATATCTTAAAAACAGTTTAGATTTCAAAATAATGTAAAACTAATATTTATTTTTATTTATATTGACATTTATAATTTTAGACACCTAAAGTAACCCCTCTAGTCTAACCCTGTAGTAACGCCAACTAAGGTAACTCCTTAGATAAACTGTTTTAGTAACCCATGTATTAACCTCTAGACACCTAAAGTAACCCCTCTAGTCTAACCCTGTAGTAACGCCAACTAAGGTAACTCCTTAGATAATCCATTTAGTAACTATTTTAGTAACCCTTGTATTAACCTCTAAGTTACCCTTATTAAAATAATACCCAAAATAACCTATAACAACCTTCAGTGTAACTGTTTTAGGGTAACTTAGAGGTTAATACAGGGGTTACTGTTTTAGTAACCCCTGTATTAACCTCACAGTAACCCCTGTATTAACCTCTCAATTACCCTTATCAAAATAATACCCAAAATAACCAACCTTCAGTGTAACTATTTTAGTAACCCCTGTATTAACCTATCAATTACCCTTATCAAAATAATACCCAAAATAACCTATAACAACCTTCAATGAATCCATTACTAATCCCATAATAACCCATAATAAAACAAGGGAAAACAACATGATAAGTAACTACTTTAAACAAGATGCAAGTAATGACATGCATTATACAAATTGTTCAATGTGAACAGCTTAAATAACTCCATCACTAACCACTCGAAGCATCTAAAATTAACAATAATAAAACCAAGGAAAAAAAAAATGAAACGTACCCCTATATAAGAAGCAAGTAAGGCCATGCATATATAAATAAATTTTAGTAACCTCTCCAACAATCCCTCTAGTAACCCCAATTAAAGTAACCCCTTTAACAATACCTTTATTTACTACTTTAATAACACATGTAGTAACCCCCTCATTACCACCTCAATAACCCCATTAGTAACCCCCATCCCTTTATTTACTACTTTAATAACCCATGTAGTAACCCCCTCATTACCACCTTAATAACCCCATTAGTAACCCCCATCCCTTTATTTACTACTTTAATAACCCATGTAGTAACCCCCTCATTAACACCTCAATAACCCCATTAGTAACCCCCATCCCTTTAGTGATACCTTTATTTACTGCTTTAATAACCTCTTTAGTAACCCCCTCAGTAACCCCTCATAAACCACATTATTAACCCCCATTCAAATATTCACAAAAATAATCTATAGTAACCTAACCCCCTCAGTAACCCCTCATATACCACATTAGTAACCCCCATTCAAATATTCACAAGAATAATCTATAGTAACCTTCAGTAACCCCTCAAGTAATTACATCACTAACCCCTCTACTAATACCATAAAAGTAACACACAATCAAATAATAAAATAAAAAAGTAACACTTAATAACAACTCAAGTAACCTCATCAATACAACAACCAAATTAAAAAGTAACCCTTCATAAAAGTAACCCATATATTAACAAGCTATATATCAATATGAAGTTTAACAAAGAAATATAAAAATAAAACCTTAACAAACTCTATGAATTAAGTTCGTCTAAAATTCAAAAACTATATGAATAAAGTTCAATTAAAATAAAACCAAATCTTAAATCTTAAATCTTAAATCTTAAATCTTAAAAACAATATATTTCTTACTTTCCTTTGAATACCGGTTTCTAATTCTTCTGTCTAAATGGCACTGGTTTGGATTTGGATGCTGCTGTAAGTACTGGTCTTGCTGCTGATACATTACGCATAGATTTTTTCTTAAAGCTTCCTCTTCTGCTGCTATTGTAGCAGCCACCAAAGCAACTTCTTCTTCTTGAACTGCTGTTGTAGAAGCATCTGCTTCATTTCTTGATTATTTTCTTTTTGCAGCAGCCTCTTTTGCTGCTATTGTAGCTTTCACTAGAGCAGCTTCTTCTTTGGCAGCTTTAGCTTGTCTTTTCTTTTCAAGATCATCACGTGCCTCTGCCTTAAGAGCTTCAACTTCAGCCTCTCTAACAAGCTTCTCATTCATTAAAACTTCAGCCATAATTTGTGTGTTGTTTCTGCAATAATCTTCAACAGAAGACAACACATTCCCTCTAACCTTATTCAAATCAGACAAAATTAATGAAGCACAAATCTCAGCTCGATAACGGCGACGTTCAATTAACTACAAAAACATAAAAAATAAAAAATTAGAGCAACAAAAAAAATATTCTTAAACAATAAAAGCATTTGATAAATACCTGATTCAAACGATAGCTTCTAAAAGGTTTGCCAAAATATGAGGCACAATGATAAAGACAAAAGACTCCACAATCTACATTTTCACCAGCTTTTTTACCATCAAATTTAACCATTCTAATTGGGAAATCCATGACATCTATTCCTTCTTCACGGCCTTTAATGATCATGTATCTTGCCATCAGATATCTCTATTAAAAAAAAAGAAATGAAAAAACAAAAGAAAAAATGACTCCTTAAATAACCTCAAAGAATATAACTATAAAATATAAACACATCAAAATAAAACAATGGCAATATGTCACTAAGTAATCCCATAAGTAACTCCAATAATAGCAGCATAACTCAATTTTAAACAATATAATATAAAAAAGTAAATTTAAAAGCCTTACCAAACGAAATGTAATACTGTAATACACAGAATGCAATCCATCAAATTTTGTTGTATTTTTCTTTAACACTAGATTATACATTGTGTATTTTCTGTTGTCAAGATAATCAATCGTTTTGTCAAAAAAGTTCACCACAACAACAGAATAGTGGTTGTCATACCAAATAGGAATAAAAACCTGCAACAAAAATATAAAAAATATAAAAAATTTACACAGAATTTTTATATTATATTCATTAATTATAAATGGAAAAAATGTTGACTATAAAACAATACATTACCAGCATGGCAGTCAAAAACTTAGTACATCTAACATTATAAAACCATTCATCCCATGCACCAAATACATCTTTCTCATAAATACATCCTTCACCAGCAACAAGACACTGCAAAACAGGCCACTACATACAACAAAAAAAAAATCACTGATTAACATAATATATTATCTTGTAAAATACTAGAAATAAAAAAAAAAAGTACTTCATACTTACCATATGCTCATTTCCAAAGTAAACTCTATTATAAGTAAAACCTGCCAAAATCTCCTCAAAATTCAAAAGAATATAGAAACACTCCATCACACGACTAGATATTAACTGTCCTGGTATCAATGTATGAAAATCTTCCCGGGGCAATTGATATATCTCAGAATAATAGAATAAAATCTCCCTGTAATTAAATACAAAGAAAAAAAAATCATTCATTAAAGACACTAACAAAACATCATTTATAGAGAATTAAGTAAGACTAGTAACCCTGCCTAGTAACTTCCATTAATGTAACCTCACTGTAACCGTAATAATATACCTGTCTAGTAACCCCATAAAATTAAACCCACTCGTTACCCTTGTAGTAACCCTATTACAATAACCTCCTAGTAACCCTGCTAGTAACCCCTGTAGTAACCAGGATTAAAATAACCTTCCAATAACTAAGTCCTCTAAATAATCCCAATAAATAACCCCTCCTCTAGTAACCCCTTCTCTAGTAACCCCTCCTCTAGTAACCCTCCTCTAGTAACACCAATAAGTATCCAGTCCTCAGTAACCCCTTCTCTAGTAACCCCTCCTCTAGTAACCCTCCTCTAGTAACACCTTCTCTAGTAACCCCTCCTCTAGTAACCCTCCTCTAGTAACACCAATAAGTAACCAGTCCTCTAGTAACCCCTCCTCTAGTGACACCAATAAGTAACCAGTCCTCTAGTAACCCCTCCTCTAGTAACCCTAATAAGTAACCCCTAACATATATTAATACATTCAAATAATCCCTCTAGTTAACCCTGTACTAATCCCAATAAGTAACCCCTATGCCATGTAAATTAATTATGATTTTTTAACACCTGAATAACAAAGAAAGAAAACCCTAACTAACCCTTAGTAACACACTAAGTAACCCCCTAAATAACAACATTAGTACCCCCCTAAATAATCCCCCTGCTAGTAACCCCTGTAGTAACCAGGATTAAAATAGTCCCAGTACTAACCCCTGTAGTTACTTTATTATAACCATACTAGTATCCCCATCAAAGTAAAAACACAATCAATCCATCATAAAAAAGTCATACAAATATGAAAAATTAATGCAACACCAAAAAGTCATGCAAATCAAAATTTTATTTAAAGTCTGTTCAAAACTAAATAGTAACTCATTACACCATAAAAAGTCATCAAAACCCCCAAAAATTAATGTATCCCCAAAAAGTCATACAATTCAAAATTATATTTAAAGCCTGTTCATATAGTACTGAATTCATCATCAAAAAGTCATACAAATCAGATTTCTATTTAAAGCCTGTTCATACACTACTGAATTCATCATAAAAA